CAGAATTGTGGAAAGACAGGCAGTGAATTGAACTGGATCTTCTGGATGTGGCCTGACTTGAAGAACCTGAACCCTTTGTCTATTCCACGGAACGAGCTGTACTTGGCTGTGCCGGAATCACCAACCTCCTCGTCATCCTCCCCATCATCATCCTCCCATTCGTCATCAACTTCAGCAGCGAGAGCACTATCAGCAGCGGCAGCACTATCAGCAGCGACAGCACTATCAGCAGCGACGGCACTATCAGCAGCTACACCACTATCAGCAGCGACAGCACTATCAGCAGCGACAGCACTATCAGCAGCTACACCACTATCAGCAGCGACAGCACTATCAGCAGCGACAGCACTATCAGCAGAATCACTGGCATGTGAAGTAGCAGGAATAGCAGCAGTGTCGTCACCTCTTGCAATCTCGTGCCCACTGATGACTTCCTGGACCGTCCGCTCTGTGAAATGCACATACAGGGTTCGGAATGAGAATGATGGCAGCTGACTTAGATTATCCTTCCATCCCTCGGTGGGGAACGGGGGGACACTTCTTAGATTGGGGTGCACGACACCTGCGGACTTCAGACGCTCAGCTTTAGCAGCAATGTTTACACCACCATCAGGGTCAACAATTTCATGTGCCAAGCCACCACGTATGTAGTCTTCAACTCTGTTGAACACAAAGAACAACACCCAAACAACGAAATAAATTTCAAAATTGAAAACATTGACAACCGAAAAAGGAAAATAATGATTATGGGAGGATATGTGGGATAATTCCTAACTAAAGGCGAAGTGACGTAAAACCCAAACAATGTTACTTCCCGGTTCTACTCACTACATGTATTACCATACCGTCTTGCAATTAGGTCTAAAGAAAAATCCCAGCACAAATCTCACCTTTTCAGCAATTCAGGTTTCGTTCCCGATCGACGAGCATTACGGCAAGCTAGCCAACGCTTCAATTCTTTCACGGAAAGTTGACTTGCCAAGCGTTGAGAGCCATCAGGATTCCGACCTAACGATGCTCCAGGCACATCGTCCTCGGAGAGCTTCACAGCCTGCGCCTCCATCTCCGATAAACAAAATACTACGAAAAGTGTTCCTTGCAGAAGCAGCTGACACGGCCTAGATTTGCTTCTGCCCACAACTCGGCATTTTCCAGGCTGGTCGCGTACGCATGACATCATTACGCAATGGGCCTATGCCGCATGCGACTGTTTCAGTGTTTGACTTTGACTTGACTTGTCTCGAGGCTCTCGCAACTGCATTTTGGACTGGGCCACAAGTAAACTGATTGTGGCAGTACCAACGCTCACCAGTGATCATGGTGATGCCCTGATGGGCCTGATGCCAGTGATGGCTAGTTGTGGACCTTGTGACAGGAGCTATGCTGGTGCAGCATGCCATGAGTAGTATGATACCACCCGTGCCTTTCTCCTGTTGGTATTGAACTTGCTGGATTGACTCGTGCTATCTCCGTACGATCCTGTCAAACTTTCGAAAATTGAGTTCTGCAGATTTAGTTTTACATTATTATTGTGTGACGAATCAAGTCGGTTGTTTTCTGTTCCCCCTTGCTTTGAGAAAGCGGCGGAGAGAGAGAGAAAAAGAGCGCCCGGGAGGAAACACTAGGCTCATTGATCGTTTGGACTCTGTTGGCGACACGATGGGTGCGTGTTACAGCACAGCATCAAACTACACAGCCTGGTTGTGTGGGTATGGTGCGAAGCCATTGGATGGCCTCACATACACGGATATGAACGGAGATCCAATAAATATTGATGATTTTCTGTCGGATGATGAGCTACTTGGACTAGACGATAACGAGATATTATCCTCTCGCAAGCCCAGAGCTAGTAATAAACGGAATGTGCTTTCATGGCGTTTGCAACAACAAGTTTCAAGCCCTGAGAATAGTACAGATGTAGCTAGTCCGTATGGACACCGTCCTCTTATTGTTCATAACGATCACTTTGATCAGAGTCAGTTGAGTGATGGTATGGATACTGGTAGTGAAGCTGGATACTCACCCGAACATGCTGTCACTGACGGTGTTGCCTATGATGCTAGTAGTACTAGTAGTAGCAATGGTGGTGGTAGTGGTGACTGTGCTGTACAACCTGCTCGCACTCGTGGCTCGGCTCAGTGTGTTTCCAGTGGTGCGGCCAGTCGTTCACTACGTTCTACACCTGGTCAAGCACAATTGGCAGCAAGCCGTACAGCCGATGTCATGCTTGCTACGCATAGGGCTATGCGAACGCTGTACACACCGGATACAGCCACCACACACACCACGCATAGCAACAGCACCTCTACCGACGGCGCCACAACAGCGGCAGAGGATGCGGCTAATGATTACGTCATTGGCAACATTACACGACATCATCCCGCTGCGTCATCTATCCCGTTACGAAGTGGTGGCCGTCCACAACACGCTATGCCGGAGGATTCGCTATCACTCTCGTCATCGTCATCACTTATATCCAGGTCTGGCCATGGTTCCGCAGCAGCTGTACCATCACCACCTATTGGAAAAACACATGAGTTAACTTCCTGGATTGACAACCCTGATGAGCTACGGGCGATGAATTACGAATCCAGTTCTGCCAGCGTAGCACCGGAAGACTTTGAGGAATTTCTCAACTCGGTTGTAGCCAGATCTCTGACTGGTCAATATGACTATGCAGGAGCAGTGTCGCCAACGACAATGACGACGGCAGCAGCAGCGGCGACAGGCAACACTAGTAGCAGCAGTGACGTCAATGCCCTACCCGGTTCTGTGATTGGCACAGCAACGTCACTAGGCAACACTGAGGCTGCTTATTTCAGTGGTGATGTGAGCGATGCTGATGACTATGGTCTTGTTGTCGGTGAGAGTGGTCAGATTATGCCAGCAAACTACCAGCAGCAGCACCACCAGCATGACGTAAATCAACGGGCCGATTACTTGGCACGGCTTGTTGATGATACACACGTCGATGATACACACGGCTCGGATAGCAGCATAACTGATATTGCTGTGGCAACAGATTCATAGCGATGTGTGGCTACAGTCATAGCAAAGTCATAATATAGTAGGGCTTTTGAACCATTGTCGTATCTCGTAATCTGGTAGTCAAGAGCGAGAGGGACAATGCCATCCTCGTCGTGGCACCAATAATAGTCCAATAAGGCACTGGGCAATCTCTCGCTCTCTCTCTCTCTCTCTCTGTCTCTCTCTCTCTATCTCTCTTCTTGTCTCTCTCCCTCTCTCTCTCTCTCTCTCTCTCTCTCTCTCTCTCTCTCTCTCTCTCTCTCTCTCTCTCTCTCTCTCTCTTTCTCTCTCTGTCTGTCTCTCCCCTCTCTCCCCTCTCTCTCTCTCTCCCTCTCTCTCCCTCTCTCTCTCTTCTCTCTCTCTCTCTCTCTCTCTCTCTCTCTCTCTCTCTCTCTCTCTCTCTCTCTCTCTCTCTCTCTCTCTCTCTCTCTCTAAATATGGCATTATTTTATCGTGAAGGCTGTTTCATTATCCTTTCTTATTGTAATAAAAAGTTGGCTTGTTTTGACCATGATATCTTTATTTGCTCAAGCATGTGGTTCGTCAGATGGGATGCCGAATGGCAATTAAATATTGTTTTTCTTCAATTTTGTCCTCTTGTTCAGTTTGTAGGTGGTTGTTCTGTTTGTGTTTGTTCTGTTTGTCGTGTTTTGCTCTTTTCCTTCTTGCTCATTCCAATCACTGTCATTTTACGTTGCTCTGTATCGTCATGCCTTTGTTTTGTTGATCCGTTTTGTTTTCTATTTCCCTTTTACTCCCTCCCAGCTGTTTTTAAAATGTATTGCTATTTACGAATTGACCACCGTATCATCAACACACCCACTATTATTATAATTATTACTACTTCAAAGTAGTACAGCCGCTCATTTGTTCAAGAAGTGTTCATTTCTGGAAGTATTTTCACGAGTACAGCCTGACTGTCTCTCACCCACAGTGTTCCACCTGTTGTGAAGCGTTGTATTGATGTTGGCAGCCAGCTTGGCTGGATCTTGCCGCCCGTCTACGCTTTGGCTAAGGCATGTTCTATTGGTTGGATCTGGATCCAGATCAATCAGATCCACTCCATATGTACACGTTCGTTTCAACGAATCCGAATCCAGATCCAAAGGATTTGGATCTGATCAGCTCAACTCCGTGAGCAAGGTTGACCCGATTCACCAGATTCTTTTTTTTTTCAAAAATCGTACTCTGTTCGTGATACGTGTATGTGTACAGATGGCGGGAATGAAAGCAATGATGTGGAAATTGTTGCTTTCTCTCATGGAAACCCTAAGCGATCACTAAAATTCCAGATTCGGTCAAGGGCAGTGTTTGATTGGACCTTGGTGGATCCAGCCAATCGAACATTCCCTTATCAGGTTTAGTCATTCCAGGAATGCACCGGGTACTCCTGACTCCGCAGTGTGTGTAACTCCATTCCAGGAATGCACTGGGTACTCCTGACTCCACAGGGTGTGTAACTCCATTCCAGGAATGAAGTTGTCCAAACCCGGTGCCCTGGATTACGCCGGGGCCGGAGCTGTACGACTCTCGGCTTCACATACCCGTAAAAGTTTTAACCTCCGTCAGGTGCGCAATCATTTGTTTGAAAATTATGTCGCTTCCGCAATGTAATGCCAGATTAGGCACAAAGCAATGTATAGCCACACTCCCTGTACTGTCAATGCCAGCACACTGATCATACGCCCAATAATACTTCCACTTGATAAACACCCGCTTTTGCGCGTGTATCGCATCGGCTAAGCGCTCTTCATATGGACACTCACTTTTTTCCAACCCACACTGAGGTATAAAAAATTTAAATATCCGTACCGGTAGTTTTTCAGTGTAGGACTTGGCCTATAACAAGTAAAAACCCATACCCTGGTTGTGATTTACTCTCTGCTCTCCTCTCACCCAAGTGACCATCCGCAGGACCATCATGGGAATATTTCGACTCTGAATCAACACCCACCAAGCTGGCAACCTGGACATCATCGAACTATGGTTCATATACTGCAGTACTGGCCAAGTGCCACAGAATAATATTGTTACAAGTTATACCTGATGATTGCATAGTGCAAGAAACTGGGAGTTGCGACATACTCTGCAAACCTCCTTTGCGCCTTTTGTGTAGAGAATACCTAATAATACTCTAAAAACAGAGAGGTTCCAGGCTGTCAACAATGATACTCCATCAACCATGGACCCTTGACCAGACCAAAGACACAGACAGCAGCAGCAGCAGCAGCACTGCAACTATACTATATTCAAACATTGAAAAGTGACATGTGACATGTGACATGTAGCACAGATGTAGAGAGAAATACTAGAAATATTCCTTTCGGCCAGCGAAAGTCAAGAAAGAAATGAACATACATGTGCCTAAAATTGAAGGAAAATAGAAAAAAGCAACACAGCCATTGGTCTCAAGATTAAGTAGTAGAGAAATGGAGCGAGAGACACACATACACAGACACAAACACACATACAGACACACACAAACACACATACGGACACACAGACACACCACTATGCTAGGAATGACCATCAAGATAGGATTCCTACGGTCAGTGTCTACACTATAAACCTACATATGCTCCGACATCAGGAGTACATAATACTCTGTGACATCCATACTGTTCAAAATAGCCTAGAAGACCTAACTACTTCACACGCGCGCGCACACACATAACCAAACACACACACACGCATCCACTTTCCTTCCTTCCTTCGTCCGCTGTCACGATTGGCTATGTGCCCCAAACGGGGCGACTTGAAGGAGTGCTGGCTTCGGGACGCGGCATGAGGCACTGCGAGTCCGGTGGACCGTGAACGGCTGCACACACACACACACACATGAACACACACACGAACACACACACACACATGAACACACACACACCCATGAACACACACACACACACACACACACACACACACACACACACACACACACACACACACACACACACACACACACATGAACACACACACACACATGAACACACACACACACATGAACACACACACACTACACCGCAAGTTCATATACTGGCGATCTGGACCAAAAGTGGTGATGAAGGAAATCTGGCACAGGTCGACTTTCTACAGCACTGAACGAATAGTCCTGAGCAGCTCGCTGCTGCTGATCTTGGCGGCATTCATGCATGGCATCTGCTGCACATAGAAGCACAGACACCCACACACGTGCAAATTCACGACGTCCACACACGTGCAAGTAAGTTCACGACGTCCACACACGTGCAAGTCCACAACGAAACAAGGATATGCTCGTCAACAGAACTACATGTACACACACACATACACACACACACACCATGTACCATCACACACACACACCATGTACCATCACACACACACCATGTACCATCACACACACACCATGTACCATCACACACACACCATGTACCATCACACACACACCATGTACCATCACACACACACACCATGTGCCATCACACACACACCATGTACCATCACACACACACCATGTACCATCACACACACACACCATGTGCCATCACACACACACCATGTACCATCACACACACACACACCATGTACCATCACACACACACCATGTACCATCACACACACACCATGTACCATCACACACACACACACCATGTACCATCATACACACACACACACCATGTACCATCACACACACACCATGTACCATCACACACGCATGCATGGTAAATCCTGCCAGAGTGCCCCACCTCTCTCTGTCTCTGTCTGTCTGTCTCAAGTCGTGACACCACCCGGACATCATCTCGTCCAGAGAAGGACTCTAGACTAGAGAGAAGGACTCCAGACTAGAGAGATATGGCAAATGTACAATCTTGCATTCACCACAATGCACTGCAGAACTGCTTGCTACTATACACTATCTTACTGCCTTGGACAATAGGTCAGACGTTGGGGGTCAAACCCTGCTCTACATGCTAAGGGCACAGTACCTAAACTCTAAAGCAGCAAGCGTCCCAAGAGACTGACTGGCCTTGCGTTGATATTGTACAGGACTGCGGAGAGATCTTGTATCCGACCAACCCCATATTAAACCACACAATGGAAAGGCCATAACTGTATCCGACCAACCCCATAACCACACAATGGAAAGGTCATAACTGTATCCGACCAACCCCATAACCACACAATGGAAAGGCCATAACTGTATCCGACCAACCCCATAACCACACAATGGAAAGACCATAACAGTATCCGACCAACCCCATAACCACACAATGGAAAGACCATAACAGAATCCGACCAACCCCATAACCACACAATGGAAAGACCATAACAGTATCCGACCAACCCCATAACCACACAATGGAAAGGCCATAACTGTATCCGACCAACCCCATAACCACACAATGGAAAGGTCATAACTGTTAGAGCGGGGGTGACATTCCTAGTGTGTGGCTAAACACCGTGTTGATGACATGGTCTGTGCAGGACCTGTATTATACAGAACCAATGGCCAAGCACAGTAAGTAGTACACTCATACATCGTTTATCGGGTGGTCTGGGACCGGGCATTGTCCGTAACTTTGAAATGTCCGTGACTCCGAATCACATACATTTTTGATGGGGAAAGACCATAGATATGGCATATTACTGTATTATTACATTGCACTATTTCAACAAAAAGTGACAAGTAGTAATGTTTCCACTGAAACTCGCCCAATGGGTGCCCGGTAGATCGAAGTGCCCGGAACTTCGGGGTCCGGACAATCGAGGTATGAGTGTACACTGTATGTGCAAAGGAAGGAGAAAACGATCTCTCTACTAATGTGCAAAGAATGACATTCCATTAGCTCAAAGACGCCAGGTCCGACACAAATTTTAAAAAAGAAAAAAAGGCTTTGGTGTTGGCATCATGACATGGCTCCACTTACCCGGCTGGTTATGACAGGATGATGTTCGGTGGAGAGAACATATAGAAGATTCAATAGCCATATCATGAACATATTGCCGTATATGGCTATAGTACTGAGCTACATCTACTGGCGAATGAGCGTCATCACCGAGTGTAAACCTTGCGCCCAGTTCTTTGGCTATGGTTAGTACATCTTGCTGGGGATAAGGATGAGGCAAGCCCTTGCCGACACCTGGACGGCAACAGTACACACACATGTACGCACGCATGCATGCACAGACACACACACAGAAAGTGTAACTGACAGAGCTGCATGCCTAGAGGGTATGCGGCAGCAAGTAGTCCAAACTTGGGGGTAACATGCTCACGTCGTTAGCAAGGGAAACAGAGCTGAAGAGTAAACAAGTCACACCTTTTTACACTAAACCTCTTGGGCAAAGAAGGGGTACGACTTATTAACGGGGATATATTGGGGAAGAGTGACTTTATCAAGTAGAAGAAGAGGAAGAAGTGAATTCTGTCCTTCACTCACCGGAACTATTGATCTCCAGAAGAATTCCATGATCCACACAGAACTTTATGTTCCTCCTCACTTTCTCCAGCACCGTAGCGCTGAACGCAGCTCCGGGACAGTATTTCCGGACGACGTCGAGATGCCCAGCAACCTCAGGATGTACTCCATCAAACAATGCAAACTGCTCGTCAAAGTATGCTGAGAATAGTGATGTATGATCATTATTCCAGTCATTCGCCAACAGCTGCTCAAAGGTCTCTTTTGAAAAGTCTATGGGTTTGCCTCTCACATGGTGGATGGAGCCAACAATGTAATCTAATTTGTAGTCATGACGTAATTGCAGAATTTCTCCAATCGATTGCGGACCAACGTATTCTGTCTCAGCTCCCACTAAAATCTCCATTCCACCATCATCACCATCATTATGACTACATCGCGCATCATCAAATATCTTCTGTAATCTCCTTGCCTCGGCCACAAAGTCACTGAACTGCTTGGCGAGGTCATCGCAGCTCATACCTGCATCAATCTCTTCTTCATAGAGGAGATCTACTTGTTGTCTGGGCATATGCTCACTCAGACCAAACTGTAGAAATCCAGCACAACGCGCCTCTTCCACTACCTCAGCCAGGGGGCCACCACTGGCATGTTTGCAGAATTGAGCACTGTGACTATGAAAGGAGAATGGCATTATGGTATTCGCACCCTTTGACTTTGAAGTGGTAGAGAAATTTCTAGCTACACAAAATCACAACGCAACGCACACTGTAATAATCATTGCTAAAACGTTGTTCTCTAGTAAAAAGACAGCCTGGCACTTGGTATGGAGGAAAAATGCAATGGTGAGTGTAGCCTGGATATCTCAACCACTCAAGACATGTAGATCTACATATATATAAATAAACAATTCGAAAAACTCTCGTTCCGGATCTCACAAACAAGAACAAAAAATAGTTACTTCAAAAGTCGATCAAGACAAGCAACACTCGATACTCATCATCATGTCATCGATCAAGTCGAGAGTAGATCTAGCCTACACTGTCACTGCACTGGCCCAGGCCAGGGTCCAGACCAGGGGATACCCCCGTTCATGGTTTGATTTGGCCGCGGCGCCGCAGCGGATGTGCCCGCGCCGCGTCAGACGCGTACCCATGGAAACTCGCGGCCGCGGCGCTAAACTCAAAAAATCAAAACGCTTGCAGCTTGCGAAGAAGAACAAAGCACAAAGCAAGGCAGGTGGGCCTTGTTGGCTTTCGTATCTTGGCCTGACGAGCGGCAGTGCGCAGGACGTTTCCCCGGCGTATTTGCTTGAAGGTGTCTGTGAGGCCGAGGGTAAACTGGCTTAGCATTGCTGGGAATATCTCCATCGCTCCTTCACCTACCTCACTGTTCGAGAAGGAACATTTTCACGGAGTCGACTACTCCCGATGATCAGTATTCGAATACAGAACTGATTGATTAAATTTTGTTGGAGGTGACCATTCTGCGCGTACTGGTATTTCTGCTGGCCGAGCATGCCCCGGTACAGCTGACTGACGATACTAGTAGTGATACCGTGTTTCCTTCTCAATGGATTGGGAGGAAAGCCTCGTCAGCAGTGAGGAATTGTCTTCATCCCAACCAGAGCAAAATGCTCCGATATCTTCGTCAGCCAACCCTGCCGTTTCCAGTACGAGTATTGACGAGTTGCCCAGTGAAGTGTTGTACCTTATCTTTCGGTATTTACCAGCGGCGGACCTTCCTCGCGTCAAGCTTGTAAGTTTACAGATGTACCGGCACACGTACCGTTCAACACCTGAATTACTAGGGAGGTTTAGTTCCCACGTAACGGAAACGCGTACGTGGGTGATCCACGTAAAGTGGATGAAGGGCACCCACGTTTCAATGTTGTGTTTAGTCACACGGAACAAACAAAAGCATGAAGCGAAAGGCCCAAACCTGGTCAAAGACGAAGCTACCCGGGCCTAAGAAGCTCACCCAAATATTTCGATTTCGTGCTTCGGAAACTTCTTCAGCTGAGCACCCTCACAGCTCGCACAATGCACTCCATTCTGATTTTCACGGTACAGTATGTCGTGAATCAGAAAACGTCTGTACGTGGGTCACTGAGTATCACGTGGTACACACACGTAAAGTACCCACGGATTACGTGGGACTAAACCTCCCTATTGTTTTCAAGTACGTCGCGAACATGTACCGTATTTTCCGGAGTATAGTGCGCACTTTAGATGTGCTATTTTAGGCCCTGAATCGCAGGTGCGCACTATGCTCCGAATATGAAATGCATGTACAGTAGGTATCGGTTATAGCGTGGGTGTTTGAAAAAAAAAACGACTTTCTATTCTTATTTCCGATATTTCTTACACACGATAAATCAAGTGTGACATATCATGTGCATGTGCACAGAGGCAGGAAGATCATCGTACATGCAATGTAGTGTTACGGTGCATGCGGCTGATCATAGTCACATAGGCTTACCATGTGGCTATGCAACATGAGTTACATGACCACAACAGTTGAACCTGCAGCACTACGGCCCAACGTGAGTCAGATCGGAACTGAATTGGACGGATATTATTACTACAGGCGATATACTTTGTACTAATCTGGTATGTTTTGCTACACAAAGTCCATTCTTAGGACCGATATATTCTACTGTACGATAAAATTGCTTGTAAAAATAAATGTGCACTTGAAATCCATGTTATGATTATGAAAACATGAGAGTTCATTCTTGTAGGCAGTATATTCTTTTACACGATCACGCTATAACCGATATGCACTGTACTTCAATGAAGATTGAAGTGCGCACCCCCAATGAAGGTTGGGGGCGTGCGTTATACAAAGGTGCTCACTATAGTCTGAAAAATACGGTACCGTAACAGCTCAGTCAGTCAACACATTTGAGGAACCAGCCTATTGCCATACATGTACCAGTCATTTTGACCTTTGACCTTGGATATTTAGTACCACGACTACAAAGTACACTGTCTCACGGGGCACGGGGTACGTTGTATTGAAGTTTCACTGTTTTATTGTACTTTATTGTACTTTGTATACTAGTGCATGTTTGATACTATTGCAGTATTGGGGTTTCGCTCTACGTAATTACGTATGAAAATCCGTATGTTGTATGCGCGGGGAGCGAGGGCAACTTCCACATGTAAATCTCTCTGCGGATTACCGTAGGAAAGCTCTTTCCTACGTTCGGTCCTCTGTAGCACTGTTAGAAATATGATTTCGCTTTTTCCGGATTTATCCATCGCAACGTTCAGGCTGCACGAAATACAAGGTGCACGTCAGGGAGTCTATGACTCCCCGACTCCCTGGTACACATCACGTGGAAAAAAAGGGGAACGTGGTTTCAGTTCGTGGTGCATGCGGTGGACGGGTGCAGCTGGCGCGTCTCCAAAGCAACAAGGCATGCTTAGCAGTCGTGGAGAAAGCACGTAGAGCGAAACCCAACAGCGCTGATTTTTTACGTATGAAAATTACTTGCGTTCTACTTTATTTTCGTGCATAATTACGTAGAGCGAAACCTCCCTATTGTCTATGTGAGCATTCTGTACCGTAAGGAGGCGCATAAAAGCGCATGTCCCTATATCCGGGTGTCACTATAAGCCCACCCTCACATATAGGCGCATGGGCTTATAAGTGAATCCTATCCCACGACACACTGAGACCACCATACTACGATCTTTACAGCATTAAATGTGCTTTCTCCACATTGCGTATTGGTTAGGCCACCATCACACTATGTTCTCCCAGTACTGGTTAGGCCGCCATCACACTATGTTCTCCCACTCCCATTCACGTCTACATCCACGGTGAAAACTCCAAAACGGGCGGTCGTATCATCACACAGGCACAGTTCTTGACCCGTACACGCGGTCACGTTTTTGGAGAAATTTGAAAATTCAAACGCACGTACAAGTTTGCTCTGGAAAAGACCGGTTGAGATACGCACATATCAATGTACACATACACATACACGTTCTGGATATAAAGATTTTAAAATTCTTGAATGGCCAGGAGGAGTGGAGTATGCCTCCGGGTATGTAACAAACAACTGGAATTTGTCAAGAGTTCTGTATGATCCACTTGAGAAGACGGTGGAAAGTTCACTAGTATAATTACTGAAGTACAAATCAAGGAGGAGCTCTGTTTCTCTCCCTACTTGTTTTTGAAGTACTGCATTGGTGCTATAGGTGGCAAATTTCCTCGTTTCAAGGCCTGATGGTTTAACGCAATATATATTATGTATACAGAGTCGACAGCAGAAACCACTGGACGTCCCCTGATTCAACTAGCCGTCAATTTGACTGACGGAACCGTGGATGATCCCGTGGTTTTGACCTGTCTTTTTGTACAGGCGAATCTGCAGACACGTGTACACTTTAGTTGCATGCTCTGTACTCTCTACTCTGCACTGGTATATAAAAAGTTGCATGTTCTGTACTGGTATATAAAAAAGGGGGTTTGTCAACTGACAACCGCTCTATTTAGTTGCTATTCACTCTTGGCGCATGCGCTGGATGAAAATTCTTTTATTATTGATTTTGAAAAATTATTGACGTTTCGTGCCAGCACCCATCGTCAGAACTGGCACTGGTATGCATGAGCCAGCAGAGATGAAGTACATGTAGTGGCATGCTCTCTACTGGTATAAATGTGTTGAGCCAGCAGAGTGTAGTGGCATGCTCTCTTCTGGTATAAATGTGTTGAGCCAGCAGAGATGAAGTACATGTAGTGGCATGCTCTCTACTGGTATAAATGTGTTGAGCTAGCAGAGATGAAGTACGTGTAGTGGCATGCTCTCTACTGGTATAAATGTGTTGAGCTAGCAGAGATGAAGTACATGTAGTGGTATGCTCTCTACTGGTATAAATGTGTTGAGCTAGCAGAGATGAAATACATGTAGTGGTATGCTCTCTACTGGTATAAATCTGTTGAGCTAGCAGAGATGAAGTACATGTAGTGGCATGCTCTCTACTGGTATAAATGTGTTGAGCTAGCAGAGATGAAGTACATGTAGTGGCATGCTCTCTACTGGTATAAATGTGTTGAGCTAGCAGAGATGAAGTACATGTAGTGGCATGCTCTCTACTGGTATAAATGTGTTGAGCTAGCAGAGATGAAGTACGTGTAGTGCAATGAGATTGTACTATGTACTCCATGCACGGTGTACACAGCACTCTTTCCCCCTAGCCACGACCTAAAAAATTACCCATAAATGTGAAGCTCCGGTTCATATCGAGTGAGCGTTCAGCCATGTTCGCGTGCGTACACGTCATAGTTTTCGAAACGTTCCCATGCGAAAATATTTATTGGTGGTGGACCCATTCGAAGTTTGTTTGAATGTTCGAACATTTTTGCAGTCCTAATGTAAACAGTGTGATTTTTGGTGTACATGTTGATGTCATTTTGATTGTTCAAATACAGGTCTGCTACCTATTCTATGACATCATCGAAAGCCAGAGGTCGCTATGGAGACATGCAGGTACTGCTGGCTTGTGGCCGAGAGAGCGTCAACATGTTTCGTTGATGAAAAGGTAATCAGTTTGCGACTGGTCTGTTTTGTACGTGTTGTCTCTCTATTTGTTTCACCGGTGTGTTTTATCGTTTTCCTGGGGTTCGTGTTGGAAACATCACAGTCAGCTGCCCAGGAATGCAGTCTTGCACTATGCCCCACTACTCCATGCTGTGTGTAGGCCTAGCTGTGTGTAGGCCTAGCTGTGTGTAGGCCTAGCTGTGTGTAGGCCTAGCTGTGTGTAGGCCTAGCTGTGTGTAGGCCTAGCTGTGTGTAGGCCTAGCTGTGTGTAGGCCTAGCTGTGTGGTCATGACAAGCACGACAAGTACATGCCCAAGTGTAGCTTAGTGGCAAGGATACGAATAGTTGTTAGTTCGATGTCGCCGCTTGGTGCCAACAGGCCAAAGTAAATAATGCAAGATGGTGCCCTGTCTGCACACTAGAGGAAAAGCTACCGCATTCACCTACATACAAGGGCATGCCCTTATGTGCGAAAACATGCGCTGTGTTTTCCATTTTGCCAGGAAACAAAATTTTAACCCTTTCACTGCCACTGTCGACGAAAGTCGACAGCGCATTCATGCACTCTGAGTGCCACTGTCGACGAAAGTCGACAAGCAAACATGCAGTCCCCAGTGCCACCGTCGACTTTTGTCGACAGGCAGACTTCACCCAGTTTGGGCCGCTATTTTTGAATATTGGATATGTTTAGCCGTGGTAGAGGGCCACTAGGCCCTAGAAGAGGTCCATACCCATCGAAATACGCTGCCAGAAGTATGGGTTGCCATTTGAAAAAATCGAACCAGCGTCGTTGAAAATGCGCATCTGATTTTTAGCCGAGCGGCGCGGAAGAAATCGGTTCTCACGCACTTCCACCTTGCTGAGTCGGTGCCAGTTTTTTCTCTTTCCCGTCAACTTTCATTGCAAGGAGCATGACATTTGGTTCAGACTTGATGCCTAGCCATTGTCCAAGACTCCAGGCGGCTATCCATTGCGATAGGCGGTTGGAGTCACGGGTAGAGACAACCACACGACGGATTCCTCACGGACGCATTCACTGCAAACTTGGCGGAAACAGCGCTGGCGGCGCTCACCGAGTTCAGAACTAAAATTTTCTAAGAACTACCACGTTACAATGGCGACCAGCACGGACAAGAGGCACTACAGGTATGTCAGCTACAACATAATTATATTCTTTCTACAACGAAACCTACCTCAGGCTCAATACCTTACGATCTACTGCAAGCTGATGCGAAAGTGCATTACACCCGCGAACGCCGCGCTTGTCAACGGAACAGGGAAGCGCTTCACTCTCCGAAGTCGAAATGTATTCAGGCTGCTGCTAATCGGGAGAACAAACGACCACCATGGCGGCAGAACATTCCGCAGCTGTTCACCGACACGATCCGCTTCACCAAACGACTTACGATCGTTTCGTTCTCCGAGTTTTCTGGTGGCAGCAACTAGAATTTCGTCCGCAACAACAGGACGAAAGTCTCTCGCAACTGAAGTCCTGTTGCCACGAAGACAGAGAACATTCCGCACGCCATCTCTTCTGGTTCCAGTGCTGTAGCTCTCCGGTCCACTGGCAGATCTTTCAATCCCAGCTAACAAAAAAAGGATCTGCTTCTCTCTCCAAAACAACAACAACTAACTACTTTACTTCGCGAGTGTCCGGGCCGATCGTGTACATAGTGTATGTAGCGCATGCGGCGCACGGCGCACTTTCGCATGACATGACATGCATTTTTGCACAGCGGCTGGCGCTAGAGCGCGCAGCACGTTTGTACTTCGGATTTTGCGATTTTTTTCGACGGCAATGGCTTCCTTTATGAGTTGTCTACCTACGATGTATACTTTGGAAAGCGATATTCCGTACAGAAAGTACCAAAAAATCCATGAGAAGTTGGCCTTTCGATTTTTCGAGCTGGAGGCAAAAAGTGCCTGGCAGTGTACAGCTCAGCTGACAGCCTGGCAGGGAGCGCCTTGTCACCTTGAGTGGTCAGCTGGCAGTGAAAGGGTTAAAACGTTCCAGATACAAGGGCATGTCTTTCAATGTGAGTATTCAAATCTTCAAAATACACTCTTTGGTCTTGTGTTTTTTCATCAGCCTTTGTATGTGGACGTGCATGCCCTTTTATGCGCGGGAATACGGTATCGATGGATTTTTATTCCCGTACCTATGCAAAAGATGTTACTTCAGTAACGTCTGGCGCTAGCCAGGGTTCACACAGCTTTATTTTGACCAACCGTCTGTCTGTGTCTCTCTCGCGGCCTGTTCATCATACTGTGTGTTGACAGTTTGGCATCTTACGGCAATGTTCAGGCCCTGAGCAAGCTTGCTTTCGCTCACATCTACAAAGATGGTATGTGTTAGCCAGCTTCTTTACCTCTGTCTTTCTGTTTCCTTATGCTTACTATTGTCAGTGGTCTCTGTACAGTAAAGTACCATTGGCCGCAATCACCCCAGTCACCCCAGCCCCCCCCCCCCCCCCACCACCACAGTGAAGTACCATTTCCCGCAATCACCCCAGTCCCCCCTCCCCCATCACAGTAAAGTACCATTGACCGCAATCACCCCAGTCCCCCCCCCCCCCCCCACACCACCACCACAGTGAAGTACCATTGGCATTGACCGCAATCACCCCAGTCCCCCCCCACCACCACAGTGAAGTACCATTGACCGCAATCACCCCAGCCCCCCTCCCCTCCACCACCACAGTAAAGTACCATTGACCCCAATCACCCCAGTCCCCTCCCCCCCCCCCCCACCACCACCACAGTGAAGGACCATTGCCCGCAATCACCGCAGTACCCCCCCCCCCCTCCCCCATCACAGTAATTACTAAAGTACCATTGACCGCAATCACCCCAGTCCCCCCCCCCACCGCAGTGAAGTACCATTGTCCGCAATCACCCCAGTCCCCCCCCCCCCCCCTCCCCCATCACAGTGAAGTACCATTGGCATTGACCGCAATCACCCCAGTCCCCCCCCCCCCCCCCCCACCGCAGTGAAGTACCATTGACCGCAATCACCCCAGTCCCCCCACCACAGTGAAGTACCATTGACCGCAATCACCCCAGCCCCCTCCCCTCCACCACCACAGTAAAGTACCATTGACCCCAATCGCCCCAGTCCTCCCCCCCCCCCTCCCCCCCCCCCACACCACAGTGAAGTACTGTTGCCCGCAATCACCCCAGTCCCCCCCCCCCCCCCCTCCCCCATCACAGTAAAGTACCATTGACCGCTATCACCCCAGTCCCCCCCCCCCCCCCCACACCACCACCACAGTGAAGTACCATTGGCATTGACCGCAATCACCCCAGTCCCCCCCCCCCCCCCCCCCACCGCAGTGAAGTACCATTGACCGCAATCACCCCAGTCCCCCCCCCCCCCCCACCGCAGTGAAGTACCATTGACCGCAATCACCCCAGTCCCCCCCCCCCCCCCCCCTCCCCCATCACAGTAAAGTACCATTGACCGCAATCACCCCAGTCCCCCCCCCCCCCCCCCCCACACCACACCACCACCACCACAGCGAAGTACCATTGGCATTGACCGCAATCACCCCAGCCCCCCCCCCCCCCCCATCGCAGTGAAGTACCATTGACCGCAATCACCCCAGTCCCCCCCCCCCCCCCCCCCCCCCCCCCCCCACCGCAGTGAAGTCCCATTGACCGTAATCACCCCAGTCCCCCCCCACACCACCACCACAGTGAAGTACCATTGGCATTGACCGCAATTACCCCATCCCCCCCCCCCCCCCCCCCCCCCCACCCCACCACCACCACCACAGTGAAGTACCGTTGACCCCAATAGCCCCAGTTCCCCACCACCACACACTTCCCAGTTGCTTTTACAGAAGCGCAGGTAGGGTTACATCTTGCAAGAAGGCTATTTTTAAGAAAGGCATGATATGGAATAATGTGACATGAAGTGCCGAAGGCCTTGCCTTACTCACGCATTGTTCATAGTTCTGTGCAGTGCAATGCCTGAGCTACTACCATAGTTCTGTGCAGTGCAATGCCTGAGCTACTGTCTTGGACATGGAAATCCAGTCGATTGTCCGGGGCCAGCGCCCTCAGCGCGTACAGAACATTGCATGCAGTGCACAATCATGTTGGTCCGATGCCACCAGCGCGCTGCAGCGCATAAATGCATGTGTGTACTGCTTACCTACGGCTGCATGGCCAGCGCCCTGGGGCTGCTATACATGCGACCGGATTTCCATGTCCACGACAGTACTACCATAGTTCCATACAGTGCAATGCCTGACCTAGTATCATAGTTTTATACTAGTACAGTGCAATGCCTGACCTAGTATCATAGTTTTATACTAGTACAGTGCAATGCCTGACCTAGTATCATAGTTTTATACTAGTACAGTGCAATGACTGACCTAGTATCATAGTTTTATACTAGTACAGTGCAGTGCCTGACCTAGTATCATAGTTTTATACTAGTACAGTGCAATGCCTGACCTAGTATCATAGTTTTATACTAGTACAGTGCAATGCCTGACCTAGTATCATAGTTTTATACTAGTACAGTGCAATGCCTGACCTAGTATCATAGTTTTATACTAGTACAGTGCAATGCCTGACCTAGTATCATAGTTTTATACTAGACAGTGCAATGCCTGACCTAGTATCATAGTTTTATACTAGTACAGTGCAATGCCTGACCTAGTACCATAGTTTTATACTAGTACAGTGCAATGCCTGACCTAGTATCATAGTTTTATACTAGTACAGTGCAATGCCTGACCTAGTATCATAGTTTTATACTAGTACAGTGCAATGCCTGACCTAGTATCATAGTTTTATACTAGTACAGTGCAATGCCTGACCTAGTATCATAGTTTTATACTAGTACAGTGCAATGACTGACCTAGTACCATAGTTTTATACTAGTACAGTGCAATATCTGACCTAGTATCATAGTTTTATACTAGTACAGTGCAATGACTGACCTAGTACCATAGTTTTATACTAGTACAGTGCAATGCCTGACCTAGTATCATAGTTTTATACTAGTACAGTGCAATGCCTGACCTAGTATCATAGTTTTATACTAGTACAGTGCAATGCCTGACCTAGTACCATAGTTTTATACTAGTACAGTGCAATGACTGACCTAGTATCATAGTTTTATACTAGTACAGTGCAATGACTGACCTAGTATCATAGTTTTATACTAGTACAGTGCAATGCCTGACCTAGTACCATAGTTTTATACTAGTACAGTGCAATGCCTGACCTAGTATCATAGTTTTATACTAGTACAGTGCAATGCCTGACCTAGTATCATAGTTTTATACTAGTACAGTGCAATGTCTGACCTAGTATCATAGTTTTATACTAGTACAGTGCAATGCCTGACCTAGTACCATAGTTTTATACTAGTACAGTGCAATGACTGACCTAGTACCATAGTTTTATACTAGTACAGTGCAATGACTGACCTAGTACCATAGTTTTATACTAGTACAGTGCAATGCCTGACCTAGTATCATAGTTTTATACTAGTACAGTGCAATGCCTGACCTAGTATCATAGTTTTATACTAGTACAGTGCAATGCCTGACCTAGTATCATAGTTTTATACTAGTACAGTGCAATGACTGACCTAGTACCATAGTTTTATACTAGTACAGTGCAATGCCTGACCTAGTATCATAGTTTTATACTAGTACAGTGCAATGCCTGACCTAGTACCATAGTTTTATACTAGTACAGTGCAATGCCTGACCTAGTATCATAGTTTTATACTAGTACAGTGCAATGACTGACCTAGTACCATAGTTTTATACTAGTACAGTGCAATGCCTGACCTAGTATCATAGTTTTATACTAGTACAGTGCAATGCCTGACCTAGTACCATAGTTTTATACTAGTACAGTGCAATGACTGACCTAGTACCATAGTTTTATACTAGTACAGTGCAATGCCTGACCTAGTATCATAGTTTTATACTAGTACAGTGCAATGCCTGACCTAGTATCATAGTTTTATACTAGAACAGTGCAATGCCTGACCTAGTATCATAGTTTTATACTAGTACAGTGCAATGCCTGACCTAGTATCATAGTTTTATACTAGTACAGTGCAATGCCTGACCTAGTATCATAGTTTTATACTAGTACAGTGCAATGCCTGACCTAGTATCATAGTTTTATACTAGTACAGTGCAATGCCTGACCTAGTATCATAGTTTTATACTAGTACAGTGCAATGCCTGACCTAGTATCATAGTTTTATACTAGTACAGTGCAATGCCTGACCTAGTACCATAGTTTTATACTAGTACAGTGCAATGACTGACCTAGTACCATAGTTTTATACTAGTACAGTGCAATGACTGACCTAGTATCATAGTTTTATACTAGTACAGTGCAATGCCTGACCTAGTATCATAGTTTTATACTAGTACAGTGCAATGCCTGACCTAGTATCATAGTTTTATACTAGTACAGTGCAATGACTGACCTAGTATCATAGTTTTATACTAGTACAGTGCAATGCCTGACCTAGTATCATAGTTTTATACTAGTACAGTGCAATGCCTGACCTAGTATCATAGTTTTATACTAGTACAGTGCAATGCCTGACCTAGTATCATAGTTTTATACTAGTACAGTGCAATGTCTGACCTAGTATCATAGTTTTATACTAGTACAGTGCAATGCCTGACCTAGTATCATAGTTTTATACTAGTACAGTGCAATGCCTGACCTAGTATCATAGTTTTATACTAGTACAGTGCAGTGCTTGACCTAGTACCATAGTTTTATACTAGTACAGTGCAGTGCTTGACCTAGTACCATAGTTTTATACTAGTACAGTGCAGTGCTTGACCTAGTACCATAGTTTTATACTAGTACAGTGCAATGCTTGACCTAGTATCATAGTTTTATACTAGTACAGTGCAATGCCTGACCAGTGAGCTATTACCAGTACATGTACATGTATGTGTTATGAGGGTTCTCGCCAAAGCAACATAGCGGGGCGCTGCGCCCTCCTTCACTTTTTGACCGCCCCTTTCAAAATGAAAGCACCACCCTTCAGAGTACGAGCACCGCCATTTTATATGCATGATAAATGCACATATGCATGATAAGGGAGCATCTCATAAGTTCGCATTTTGTTTCTAAACGTAACGCATTTCGAAACGGGGGTAGGGGGGGGTAGCGCCCATTTCAGATAGAAAAATGACCGTTCGCACATTTTCTTGTAGTGTTGAAACGATCTCACCGGATACTCGTTAGCTCGCTCGCCAGAAACTCGGCTCGTTTGTGCGGCCAGCTCGTTTGCACTAACGAACACCGTACTCCGTACACATGGCAGTACATGTCGACCGGGGAGTCGTAAAAATATTTTACGACTCCCTGGTCGATCGAGAGTCCAGTCCCGCGCAAAGTGAAAATCACTTGCAGTTACAGGTGACTGTATGCCTGCACGACACTTGAGTTGTTTCAGTTGTCGTTGCAGCTTTGGTGGACTCTACTGATGTCTTGTTCCGCATCTGCTGACCTGTCGCAGGATATGCTTTAGTCACCTCTCCATTCGAGTGAAAGTTACGCTCAGTCGTTTGGAAGTTTTCTCCCGCGATGCAGCGAAGACCAGGGCTACTTGCAATCTTTGCAAAACGGTCTATTATTACAAAGGCTAATCCACGACGGCGCTGAAAAGACATCTCGACACCAAACAGCAGTCCGAAGTGAAGCAGCAGCAAACCCAAAAGCCGGCGGTGATAACTTGAACCAGCTGAAAAAAATCGAACTTAGAAAAAAAATTATTCAAAAAAATAATCATATTTGCCACATCAATGAAACTCGTTAGATCGCTCGATAGCTTGCTCGTTAGTGGAACTGATCGCTCGTTTGTTATAGATACGCTCGTTTCAACACTATTTTCTGGATGTGTGCAATACAGTGCTGAGCTTGTGCTAGACCGCTTCAGACAGCAGGGTACGGGTGTGTTTTAGGTGTAGATCTAACCCTTGCACTACGCATGCAGGCTACTCAGAGGTGTCAAATGTCACACCAGCCTGATCAAACCGTGTACCTGCCACCTGGCCAGCTTTGACAGTACAGTGTTGTGGAGTAACTCTGTTTATGTGTGTGTACATGTCATTGATTGAACTAAGACTGTAACTAATACTTACTTGTACTCAGTAGATGTGGTACTACTGAATGCCATTCACTTCGACACTAGCGTCCATGTCCATGTACATGAACATTGTACATGATTGTGCATACCATGGCATGTACAGTACAGTAGATCTACACTGAAAATGTGCGATAAGACTTTCAAATAGTGGGGGGAGGTAGGGGGGTAAAGTCTATTCGAAATGCGTTACGTTTACAAAAAAAGTGCGAACTTACGAGATGCTCCCTAAGTGCACATCATGATAAGTGCACATTATCATGTTTAATGGGTCTACTGTATAAGTACAAAGTTTCGTTTGGAATTAACTTTCGCTATGCTCGTTAGGGGCACGAAATAACTAAAGTTTGTATCAAACTTAAGTTTATTTTCCGAACGTTCGGGGTGATAGACCTCGAGCAAAACGAAATTTAGTTGTCATAACGAACCTGCTGTTGGAGTGATCTAACGAAAGATTTCGTGAACGAAAATTTGTACTTCTAGAGTAGTAGCACAAGATCAGTGTATGAGTCATTGCTTCCTATAAGCATCACTTGCCTCTGAAAATCATACCCATGGAGGGGGTTCCAGTGGCCGGTGAATAAATCATTTATTTGGAATTGAAGTTGGTCGGTTGCTTACTGGTGTCGGTGAAAGTAGCTGCCAAAATGGCGGTACAAAATAGTGGTAAAATCACAAAAATCTGGGTCCATTGATCCCCCCCCTCCCCCGCCCCCTTCACTCTTGTCCTGGCTATATCCCTGGTTGTGCACAACTGTGGACATGTACACGTATGTGTTATGCACAACTGTACGGCCGCGTTCGAATTGTCTTCATCAACTGTTCAAACAATTTTTTTAAAGAGATTTATTAAAGTGTCCCATTAGAACGGTTTCTATCATTTTAGAGTTTTTCAGTGGAATTGTCATGGCGATGATGACGTCCGATCAGATCGACCATCTCCACGTACTACGTGACGTAGCTATTCCAAACTCTTCGGAACTAATCCACCTCTCCCATCGGATGAGGTTGTGGAGTTTCGAGGAGTTTCGAGGAGCTTCGTTTTTCTAAAGAGGCCAATACGGCCACCTCTTCAGAAAAACGAAACTCCTCGAAAAGTCAAAGAGTGACAATTATTTGAATGCGCCCTACATGTATGTGTTATGTACAACTGTGTACTGTACATACATACATACAGCAGCAGCAACACAGCATACTGTAAAGTACTGTGCATGCCCCCCCCCCCCACCCCCCCCCCCCCCCCACACACACACACACACGCTGCATGTGTATCCTGTCATGCATGTTCTATCTATGAAACAACACCAGCGTATGGAGATATATCTATGAAACAACACCAGCGTATGGAGTGAAACAGCATATCAAAACTGATGCATGCGCTGAAACCTCAACATGTACACTAAGCTGCAAATGTGTGTGTGTGTGTGTGTGTGTATGTGTGTGTATGTGTGTGTGTGTATGTGTGTGTGTGTATGTGTGTGTGTGTATGTGTGTGTGTGTGTGTGCGTGTGTGTGTGTGTGTGCGTGTGTGCGTGTGTGTGTGTGTGTGTGTGTGTATGTGTGTGTGTGTGTGCGTGTGTGTGTGTGTGTGTGTGTGTGTGTGTGTGTGTGTGCACTTTGTGTGTGCACTTTGTGTGTGCGCTTTATGTGTGCATGTGTTTGTGGATTTGTTTGTGTGCCCCTATGCCTGCTTGCAGTGTACAGCGAAGAAGACCTTTCCTCGTCCAGGGATCTTTTCATCTTGTACAATGCAGACCAGGCCAAGCAGGTAGGGCATGCTGTGTTGCTGCTGCAGTGAAAGGGTTAACCCATTCGTATCTCACTCCACGGAGGGATTCCTGTGTAACTTTTCAAGTTGCAAGAAATACGAAACGAATAAGCAGGCTGACGTTGGCAATAGCCACAGTCAGACAGTCATCCATAACGTGTCGTGCCTACTTCTTGTACATGTCAGCAAGAGTCCATAAACAAGAGTGTGCAACTGTGATCTCTTTTCTATGGGCCAGATGTGCGGCGCGCTGCCTTCATTACATCATTCAGCTGCAGTCCGCGCACTGCGGAAAATCAAACACCGCCCTTTCCCTCTGGTTTGAAATGAACTTTCGTACGGAACTGGAGTTCACGGCCTTCACGCGCCAGAATTCAGAGATCGCGTAGGTACTGGAACGAATTGAGCAAAAACGGATGGGCTCGTACGAGAAATTGTGAGTTTGAATGCATGCTTTCAGAGCATGATGAAGGCAAGTTACGTAATGAAGGCAGCGCGCCGCGCACTGGGCCATAACCACAGTTGCATACTCTTGTTTATGCACTCTTGATGTCAGCTACAGCCATGGATATCTTTGAAATGGTTTTGCAAGCAAGCCGCTTTTTGTAAGCATGACTTAACTTTGTGTAGGGTGTACGGTTCCGTCGCTTTTTATCATTACCCAAATCAAGCAGTCTCCTCTGGACTAACCGAGTTCTGACGGACGACGCTCGTTGTTAGCCAGCTTAATTCTATCACTGTATTTCAGCGAGTCATACGATTAAAAATTTAATAATAAAGAGGTTGCGCACAACGAAAATTCGTAAGATTTCGCCCGTTCGGGTTCGAGTAACAAAAGTTGCTGCGAAGGTCCGTCCAAACGCGACCGAAACAGAGCAGATCTACGAAAATATTTTTTCATAACGTGGAGTACTAAAATACTGATATTTTACAACTCCCTGTCTTGACTCTCCGTACCCGCACGCGGGGCCCTGTCTTGACTCTCCGTACCCGCACGCAGGCCGTGTTGACCTACTACGAAAAAGTTCACACGTTGTGCGCAACCTCACAGCTTATGTTAACTTTTTTTCGTTAAAGATATTCGTTACGGCGAATTTACGAATTTTAAAGATATTCGTTACGGCGCTGCGAATTTTAAAGATATCCGTTATGGCGCTACGAATTTTCGTTGTGCACAACATCTCTAATAATAAAATGATGAAATAACAGACAAGTGTGCGTGTGTGTGTACGCTTAACCCTTTCACTGCCAGCTGACCACTCAAGGTGACAAGGCGCTCCCTGCCAGGCTGTCAGCTGAGCTGTACACCCCCTCCCTGCCAGGCACTTTTTACCTCCAGGTCGAAAAATCGAAAGGCCAACTTCTCATGGATTTTTTGGTACTTTCTGTACGGAATATCGCTTTCCAAAGTATACATCGTAGGTAGACAACTCATAAAGGAAGCCATTGCTGTCGAAAAAAAATCGCAAAATCCGAAGTACAAACGTGCTGCGCGCTCTAGCGCCAGCCGCTGTTCAAAAATGCATGTCATGCGAAAGTGCGCGGTGCGCCGCATGCGCTACATACACTATGTACACGACCGGCCCGGACACTCGCGAAGTAAAGTTAGTTGTTTTGGAGAGAGAAGCAGATCCTTTTTTTTTGTTAGCTGGGATTGAAAGATCTGCCAGTGGACCGGAGAGCTACAACACTGGAAGCAGAAGAGATGGCGTGCGGAATGTTATCTGTCTTCGTGGCAACAGGACTTCAGTTGCGAGAGACTTTCGTCCTGTTGTTGCGGACGAAACTCTTGTTGCTGCCACCAGAAAACTCGGAGAACGAAACGATCGTAAGTCGTTTGGTGAAGCGGATCGTGTCGGTGAACAGCTGCGGAATGTTCTGCCGCCATGGTGGTCGTTTGTTCTCCCGATTAGCAGCAGTCCGAATACATTTCGACTTCGGAGAGTGAAGCGCTTCCCTGTTCCGTTGACAAGCGCGGCGTTTGCGGGTGTAAGCACTTTCGCATCAGCTTGCAGTAGATCGTCAGGTATTGAGCCAGAGGTAGGTGTCGTTGTAGAAAGAATATAATAATAATTATTATGTTGTAGCTGACATACCTGTAGTGTCTCTTGACTGTGCTGGCCGCCATTGTAACGTGGTAGTCCTTAGAAATTTTTAGTTCTGGACCCAGTGAGCGCCGCCAGCGCTGTTTCCGCCAAGTTTGCAGTGAATGCGTCCGTGAGGAATCCGTCGTGTGGTTGTCTCTACCCGTGATTCCAACCGCCTATCGCAATGGATAGCCGCCTGGAGTCTTGGGCAATGGCTAGGCATCAAGTCTGAACCACATGTCATGCTCCTTGCAATGAAAGTTGATGGGAAAGAGAAAAAAACTGGCACCGACTCAGCAAGGTGGAAGTGCGTGAGAACCGATTTCTTCCGCGCCGCTCGGCTAAAAATCAGATGCGCATTTTCAACGACTCTGGTTCGATTTTTTAAAAATGGCAACCCATGTTTCTGGCAGCGTATTTCGATGATGGGTATGGACCTCTTCTAGGGCCTAGTGGCCCTCTACCACGGCTAAACATCTCCATTATTCAAAAATAGCGGCCCGAACTGGGTGAAGTCTGCCTGTCGACAAAAGTCGACGGTGGCACTGGGGACTGCATGTTTGCTTGTCGACTTTCGTCGACAGTGGCACTCAGAGTGCATGAATGCGCTGTCGACTTTCGTCGACAGTGGCAGTGAAAGGGTTATAGCCAGATGGTGTTGGGTCTGTTGCCAACGGGCTTTGCTGCTGTGCGTGTGTGTGTCTGTATGTATCTGTGTGTCCATTCAGTACTTGGTGCGGCTTGCCGAGTGTAGCCCTGGTAGTTTCACACCGTTGCTATGGTTACTGATCCGCCCCCCTTGGCCAGCTTTCTACATCTCCTGCAAGTCCACGGTGTACTCCAACTTGGTTGCCATGGTAACCAAGATGATTCAAGATGAAGAGGTATGCCTGCGTTTTGATTGTATTTTGATTGTATTTTTAGATTCGTTTGTGAATCGCTAAATACTACTTGGTCCGGCTCATCGCAATTGTCGCTTATCTACCGCCACTAAGAACAGGAGTTTTTTTACCGCTTTGTGAAATTTCCAATAGGCATAGTGAGGAAGTATGATACATGAATACTCTCCGCCACAAGAAAAAAAATCAGCAATGGAATCAGGTAAAGCGAGTCGAAGAAAGGAAGCAAGGTAAGCAAAATACACGAAAAAAACAGCGAAGGAGCGCGTTTTGCACTCACACTCTTAGTCTTAGCAGATCCAGAGTTCATTCAACTCTGCATCACTCGAGCTGCCGCGCCGGCGTTACATGAGCTGACATTTGCTGGTGTCTACCTGCTGGCGTAGACTGGAGTATCTCTTGCTTTCTCAGCCTGTTGTATGGCAGCAATGGAAAAGGAAAAGTTGTGGCTGTCACTTCGGTGCTCGAAGGAACCGTGGGCAGTGTGACCTGTGTGTCACCACAGTGTGTTTCGACAAAGCCTTCGAATGAGGCATACAGGCCTCTCCAAACAGCTGTCATACGCTCCAGACGCTGACCACGACTCTTGTAATGCTGCTGCTAGGTCCACCAGGCGAAGGAACAACCAACACGTCGGCCGGGCGCATCGCATCGAAACACCTTTCTTCTTCAGCATGATGATCACACTCCTCTGCCGTGCACGAGTACGTGCCTGTCACGCTCTCCAGGATGTCAGTTGCCCCTGCTACAGTTCCGGTCTTCGGGTCGCTGCGCTTGACTTTTGGCAACACAGACAGTGAATGGCCAGATTCCCACTTCCCAAAAAAGTCGAACACATCGCGATTCAAAGCGCTAGTCGGGATCATTTTTCTTTGGTGCCTCCTTTGATCTTGCCATCACAACCTCCCAAGCAAAAGTAAGTTAGATATCGTGATTGGACTGGGTTTTACCTGTCAAAAAGTGCGTGGGAGATAAGCGACAATTGCGATGAGCCGGACCAAGTAGTAAGGTGCTGCTTCTATTGGTGGCAATAGCTTACTTCTGCTGGTGGCAAAGAATTTCAATTCCTTTCTTATCCAGGTGTATCATGGTGACACACAAGTGCAGTATGCAATGCATAATCGGCTGTGTTGTACTCAGACACAAGTAATCCATAATCAGCTGTGTTGTATTGAGACACAAGTAAAGCCTGGTTCACATTCGACAGGAAGCGACGGGGCGCGACGTAAGGATCAACGGGAAGCGGCGGGACGATCTGACGGCGTCCAATGTGAACACCAGGAACGGGAACACAGCCGTACTACCGTACAGATCGGGAAGCCATGGGAAGAGTTAAATCAGTTCACCCTTTCATACTGTAGACGAGTGTAGACGGGGACGCAAGCGTACAAAACGGCTCCAATTCAAGTGTGAACAGGAGATGACATCATGCACCGACTACTGCCGATTCGTACTTTGAAATGTTTAGCATTTCGAACACTACACTTCCCATGATAACTCACAGAATGGCTAACACGGCTGAGTTGAATTCTAGCAAGATAAGGTTTCATGTCCCTTCCTTTACTTAGGGCCTGGTCAGAAGCGTGGCAGACGAATTGTTTTATCATTTCCTGGGGCTATTATTAGAATGGCACAACTTTCAGGGCTACTTTTTTGGTCTTCATAATAAAACTGGTGTTGTGAATTTGATTCCGCTTCGTTCAAGGAGTAATGATTGAAGAGAAGTCCCGAAAAACAAGAAATTAGGTCCGAAAGCCACCCAGTCACGGACCTTGCCTTATGACTCGCGCCGTTCAACGTTCAACATCGCAACAACTGCTACATGTCTTGTCGTACGAAGCGTACAAGATTTTACAGCTCACCCCAGCCGTCCTGTACCGTCAGCGTTGTGTCGAATGTGAACTATGCTTAATCCATAGTCAGCTGTGTTGTACTCAGACACAAGCAATCCATAATCAGCTGTGTTGTACTCAGACACAAGCAATCCATAATCAGCTGTGTTGTACTCAGACACAAGCAATCCATAATCAGCTGTGTTGTACTCAGACACAAGCAATCCATAATCAGCTGTGTTGTACTCAGACACAAGCAATCCATAATCAGCTGTGTTGTACTCAGACACAAGCAATCCATAATCAGCTGTGTTGTACTCAGACACAAGCAATCCATAATCAGCTGTGTTGTACTCAGACACAAGCAATCCATAATCAGCTGTGTTGTACTCAGACACAAGCAATCCATAATCAGCTGTGTTGTACTCTCACACATAATCACAGTAATACCTACATCAGACCTTCGCGTAAGAAAAATCCAGGAGAGTGAACAATCACTCTCGCTATCCTCTCAAGGAGAGTGGTGGGAGAGCAGTCCCCACCACCCTCCCCCCCCCCCCCCCAAAATAAAGTCGCTCGCCTTATCTATCCAAGGCGAGCACAATACGGGTTTTTTCAACATCTTGCCATACCCCAATCAGATTCAATAGTGACAATACCCAATACTGGCAATACGGAGCATCAGCAAATCGAATATTCGAATGAAATTCGAGAATCGTCACGAAAAGCACTCAATCAGTCGAAACTAGGGCTTTGTTCGACTGAAAAATGCCCGCAAACAGAAAATACTTTTCGAATACTTTTCGAATGCTCCGCGCGTGCTCTAGTACACGGCGCACTACGAGTACTCATTCTTGCGCATGTAGCTACTAGTTCTTACTAAAGTACTAGTCCGGACTTCTTGTCAATCTTGACGCTTTCCTCTCTCTCGAACTGTGAAAAGTTTTATCAAGTGTGCATTTTGTTTCATTTCAAGTATCCTGGAATCATGGCTTTGTCACCAACTACCAGCCCCGGTATGCCTCCTGCTCCCAGTACTGCAGTAGCCCTGCTGGCGTTGTCTCGGCATCTGCGTCTATGGTGAGTTCCCCGCAGGGAGAGGGCAACTCAAAGTGTGCCAAATATTTGAGGGTCGACCTTACCATGGATCTCATTCTGCTGAGGCAGTGTAGGGCCCACCCTCACCTATTCGTCCGCGGGTCTCCTGATATGCAAGGGATAGCGGAGGAGCTCGGCCGAGATCCGCCTTTTCAAGGGGTCTCCAAGAGAGATCCTATCGCCAATAGCCTGAATCGGATGAAGCATCCGCCGCTTCGCGTCATCCCCAAAGGCAATGAGAAACAACAGCAACTCCGTTCATTGCACATCTCAAAATCCCAGTCCTCAACTGCTCAAGCTATTATTAAAAAAAAACTCGATTCGAAAATACTGGACTGCGCTACATGCTGAACCTCTTTTTCATTCGAATTTTCTCTCTGATTTTCTTTTTGCCATTCGAATAATCAAATCGAAAATTCGATTTGCTGATGCTCCGTATTAGCTGCCAAATTCGTTCTGGAAAATCGCCGTAAGCACTACATATGAAAGCTGTTCGGACCACAACTTTAGTTTCCCTCCATCAGAGACAATGACACACGCAATGGGAAATTGAGCTAAGATCCATGGTATTTTTGTAGTATTCATCGTAGAGCGCTCCTTTCTTTTGTAGCTGACCGCTAGCCTAAAGACCTGTGCCTGGTGCGGCGTCACAGTCACACGGGTCTATGCATGCCCGGACTAGCGACTGTCACGCAACAGAGAGAAATCCTTTGGGTCAAAATTATAATTGCCACCCAAGTGTGGGAGTGAAAATTTGCAATGGTACGTAAAATACCTTGCGAGTGCCGTAACTCCACTATTGGACCTCGGATCGACTTTCGATGTGATGGAACTGACAGCTGAGAACTTTCTAATGCGAATAGACCTTTCGATTACTCGATTCCGTTCAGGGAAAGCTGAGTTACGAAATATTTGAGTGTTTTCAGAACTTCATAGTGATGCGGATGCGCTCGAAATTCTCAAGGCGCGCGACGAAAAGTGCGCCCTAAAAGAAAATAAGGAGAGCGAAGGCGCGCGAGAGCGATCGCTCTCCTTTTACCAGATGGTCTGTACATGTAATATCACAAAATCACATGGAAACGAGTTATAAAGCAACTATCCACGACTGTAACAAGATAATAAGCAGTCAGAAAATGCGATAACAGGGCACAACACTGACATGTTACTGTGACAGCACTGACATGTTACTGTCACAACACTGACATGTTACTGTGACATTCAACGACCTGAGACCTAGCTCTAACACATGTACAGTGCACAAACCAACAGCCTTCCGGCTTGGAAGGTTCAAGGTTATTGTAGGACCAATGAGGGGAAGGTGAGCGCAGCGAAAATGTGCACAAGCTAAGTCCCACCGCAACTAAGAATGGGTTGTTTCTCGCTTTCTTGTTTGTGTGCTGTTGCAGACACCGCCCAGCTGCATTCTATATTCGGTTGGGAGAATCAAGCAGTTCTGTGACCAAATGGTAAGAGGACAAGACATTGCACCATTACCACCTCCCTCCCCCCCCCCCCCCCCACACACACAGATACACGGAGACTCCCTCGATAAGGCCTGTGGAAAATCCATAAAATACTAATACAAATACACGCCCCCCCCCCCCCCCACACACACACACCGATACTCACACCCACACCCCGCCGGCAGCAGCAGCAGCAGTAGGGGAGTAGCAGCACCACCAGCACCACCATCAGACGCATCACCAGCCGCACCAGCAGCAACAGCACCAATGCCACCACCAACACCAGCACCTCTAGCCGTACCAACACCACCACCAGCCGCACCAGCACCGCCACCACCACCACCAGCACCACCAACACCAGCACCACCAGCACTAGCACCACCACCAACACCACCACCACCAGTAGTGTCTACTGTAGTGTCTACTGTAGTGTCTTGTACAGCCTGTTTTGAATACAACTGTGTCCCCCCCCCCCTCCCTCCCCCTCCCCCCCCCCCCCCCCCCCCCTCCACTGTCAGCACATAAGCATGGTTTTGTATTGCATACATAGAGATACGTGCTTCGAATAGTAGCCTGACTTGAATAGTAGCCTGACTTGGATAGAAGCCTGACTTGAATAGAAGCCTAGCACTGATATCGGCTTCTACAGGAATATACCCGGCTTGTATACGCCACATTGCTGTATATGATACAGGCTGTATGGAAGTAGTCTATATGATACAGGCTGTATGGAAGTAGTCTATACGATACAGGCTGTATGGAAGTAGTCTATATGATACAGGCTGTATGGAAGTAGTCTATATGATATAGGCTGTATGGAAGTAGTCTATATGATACAGGCTGTATGGAAGTAGTCTATACGATACAGGCTGTATGGAAGTAGTCTATATGATATAGGCTGTATGGAAGTAGTCTATATGATACAGGCTGTATGGAAGTAGTCTATACGATACAGGCTGTATGGAAGTAGTCTATATGATATAGGCTGTATGGAAGTAGTCTACAGTCAACTTCGCCAATAACGACATTCGGCGGGGCATCAGAAAAGTGTCCTTATTCGCGAAGTGTCCTTATAACCGAAGTCCCATTTGAATGTATGTGAACCCATATTTTGTATAGTATGACATGCATATCAAAATCAAGCTCTTTTCTTGCTCTATGTCAATGTGTACTCTATTTTCATATTGCAGTTGAAAGGAACTAAAAATTCGATATGCAAGGGAA